ATAATAACTATGCAGATGGCACTACGATCAATCACACCATCTGACACCAATTATAAAGACTCCTTTATGGCTGAACCATATAGCTGGACAGGGGCAAACAATCCCACCAACTGTCCCTCTAATATAAAGGATTTACACCACTTTATAAAGACTCCTTTGGCACCCACACAACGCTTGAGGGGATGTCTCTCTATTTAAACCTTTGCTGCCACCATAAGTATAAATGAACAGGAACCCTCTAGCTATTTAAGATGTTAAAAGGGTTTTTTAAAACACCACCAAGTACTGTCTTTTAAAAGGGTTTCTCTGAAGGGAAACAGGTGAGGTTGATTTAAAAAGAAAAGGGACTAAATCCACAAATGGCACTTGACTCAGGCTTAAGGTTTTCAAAAATAACAAGGAAAGTTTATTGAGTATTGTACAGAGGAAAGCGAATGCAGTTTAATAGGCTTGGCTGTTACAGTTAAAACATTCTTGTTCTTAAAAGCGTAACGGTTGCATGAGAGAATGGTTCTTTCTTTGTTACAGTTCCTATTACAAAACCCAGCTATTTTTCCCTAAAATAGCTGTAACCAGTTTGCCACAGCTTATTTCACTGTGCAAACTTCAGGCAAACTGCCTATTCTAATCACGAACTCCTAATAGCTATAATCCTGCTCTATCTCTAACATCAACCAGAACTGAACTGCCAAAAGAAGCTTCTTACTTTCCCTCCAACAATCTAACTCCGCCCCCCTTTAACAAACCAATCCTGGCTGTTTCAGGGCTGGCTCAGGCCTAGGCCACTCCCCCTCTCTGAACTGGAGCTTTCCCTAAACTAAGATGGCTCCTGCTGCCCTCTGCCAGGCCTTCTAAGCTGAAACTACCTAGCCTGCCTCTCCTAGGCCCTGCCACCCAGGCTGGCAAGGTAAGGGATCTTCACACATGACTTGTGAGATAAAATCCATTAGGAGATTTTCTTATTGTGCCTCATTAGCCTTGCTGCTACAGAACAGAGTTGTGAATTGTGCACATGGTTATTGTTCATATGCATTTTAGGGTGATGGAGTCACTTACTAGTATATATTTTTTCCAGAGACACCGCAGTGTCTTGGGCTAGGCCTGTTCCAGTAGCACAGAGCAAGATTTGACTCAGCAAATGCTGGTATAACCCGAAAAGCTTATGAAATGGAGACAAGCACAGATGGACATCTCCAAGCCAGATCATATTATTTTTGTGTGTGAAAGTCTTGCCTATCTCATCTGGGTTTTTCGTCTGGGGCTGCCTGACTCATAGTTTTTGAATGCTTTGTGTTGGCATGGCTTCCTCTTAAAGGGGGTTATGGCTGACTTGAAAAGAGCTGTCTCTTCTCATGGCAATTACACACTCACTCACACACACACACACACACACTTGTCCAGGGACAAACTTCCTCCAGCCCTGAAGCAGATCCCAGCAAAATAGTACAAAAGGTCGCAACCTAATCAACTTCGGCTAAGCCAAAGAAAGACGCTCCCAAGTCTAGCCTGAGATCTGAGCAAGTCGAATATTCTATGCTACATAAAATGTTGCTGCACCCCTTTAATATTACAGAGTGTTCTTCTTGTAAGACTTATATTTTGACCTGAGATTATGTTCATAAATTTTCATTTCCATGGTAACCTGGTGTGAGAATGCGCTCTGTTCCCTCCAAGGATAGAACATAAAAACAAAACAGATATCTTAGCGGGGAATTGCCATTTCTTTACTACTTAAATTTTAAATGCCTGTTTATCCTGTGTACATAGATGTTTCTCAGTACAGTTTTATGTCATCATGGAGCAACAAAAATGTGTTTGTGAAGGGAGACAGTATCAGAGATTTGTCAATGACACTACAGTGGTTTACAAACAGGAAACAGCTGTTTCTCCTTGTTCTCAACTCTGTTAGAGCCCTTCCAGACAGTGTCAAAATGCAGGACAAATAAGTGAGGGGAAAAAATTGTGGCATCTTAAGGAGAATCCAGACCCAGAGATGTCAGTCCCGGTAAATGCTCCCCTGCTGTCCTGACACATTCATTTGTAGCGGATTTTAGAAATCTGCAAGATAGACAGAGGACATCTGGTGGAAGTTTACTTTTTTTTTTTTAATTGGCTCTCTGAGATGCACTAGACCTCATAAGCACTGGTGTGGATATCTTAATGTGCACACAAGCACCAACTGCCGGGGAGATTGTTATCTCCCTTGGGGAGATAGGGCGGGTTATAAATAAAGTTTTATTAGTATTTTATTATTATCTTGCCATTATTTTTCTTTACCTTCCTCCTGCCTTTAGGTTTGCCCTCTTGAACCCCACTTCCCTTTGGAGTCATTTGCCTACCATTCAAGTTCTGTTTAATTTCATAAACACCAGAAAAAAGGAGTGCTTGCAGAGAATTCTCATGAGAATTGCTTTCCAATTGTGCTTCCATTTAGCCACCTGCGTGTCTATGGCACCATTTGTTTACAGCTCTCATCAACTGTTTTGAGATGTTAAAATGCGGACATGCACTGAAGCAGTCTATATCAGCATATAGGAATGAAGTTACATGTTTTTCTTGGTTGCAGGGATATACAGTCATGCGAATATGCACATTTTTCAGCCCAAATCAGGTTTTAAACACGTGTTTCTTCTTAATTCGGTCCAGTGCACATTTTTGGCAAATGTCATTTAGCCACATACACCCTTTTAACCGGTTTGTTCCGCATTTTAGGGCCTGTGTAGAAGTGCCCTCAGTTAGACAGAGTTGACAGCTTCTACTGGAGACATGATATATATTTCCAGAGCACTAGTTGAGTCTTTTATTCCCTCTCTTGTGGCAGCCTCTCATACCTACTAGATGTCCCGTCCTGATGTTTTCCCAGCCTTTGACCTTGTTGAGTTCATTCTACTGCATAGATCAGTGGTTGGTCTTCCAGGTATTTTGGAGTTCAGCTCCCACAATAGAAACAGCAGGTAAGATAGCTGAGATTTCTGGGAGTTGAAGTCCAAAAACACCTGGAGGACCAAGGGTTGGGAACCACAGGTGTAGACAAACCTAGAGTAATGCTTTTGGCCAACCCTCTCCCCATGCCTGAGCACAAGAAGGTTCTCATGTGTCAATATAGACATTAAAGTGAGATTTGGGATAGGTATGCTTACCTTAACAGTCGCTTCTCAGAGTTTTCTCAGATACACAATAGCAAATGGTCATTCAACAATCTAACATCTTTTGGTGCCTCATAGTAAAGTCTACATATATTTGAGTGGAAATCAGGTTCTCAGTCAAGTATTACTGAGCAGGCCGGGTTCCATTTCCTGCATGTGTTGCTTAGCCTTCTCTCTTCTTTCTAGGGCCATCCATTGTGACACCTCCTAAAGACATCTGGAACATCACTGGAGCCCAGATTTTCTTGAGTTGTGAGGTCATTGGAGTTCCAACCCCAGTGCTCACCTGGAACAAGGTGAGTGGCCTTTGGTGCACATTTTGAAAACAATCCACAAGGAAGCTGTATTCAACTCACCCCACAATGAATGGAAACATTGACAGAGTACTGTTCCATTATCCTGTGGGAATCTGGTAGATATGAATGGGATCCATAAAATAACAGTCCAGAACTCCCTATTAATTTCATTTGAGTCTTGTGCAGAACATCTAGTAGATTGTGCTCTTTGCAGCAGCCCATTTTCTGCTAGCAGTAGCCTTATGTATAATTATAACATTTTGGAAGATATAGAAGGAGGATTTAAGACATTAATCACATTTAAAAGTTATCACATAGTCATGGCAAATACAGAAGGGGAGAGCGTTATAACAAAATGGGAATGCAAGAGGAGTGGACTGAAGTGTGTGCCAAGCAAAACACTCCCTCTTAGCTGTGCAAGCATAACTTGCATTGCTAGACAGGGAAGCTCTTAACAACAGGCATTTGCAAAAAAGGAAAACGGTCTTCTCTGCAAAGATTAGGAATTATATAATCCACCTTTTGCCTTCTGGCATTTACGCCCCAGTCAGTTCTTGTTTCGTTTCTGGTTGTCTTCATAAAACAAGCCTTGGTTCACTTTACCATATTAGGCCTTTCTGGGGAAGAGGAGACAGTATTAAAACTCTACTGTGTGAGCTCATGCATGTTCGGAAAGTTTTGAAAATATTTAAAGACGTAAAGGATCTGGTGATATTACATGGTCCTATTTGTGCAGTCCTGTTGGAAGGAAGGAGGGACAGGGAAATTTCTGCTAAATTTTAACAGCCAGAATATGACAATAAATAACATTAGTGGCCTTGGTTTATTCTGTAGTGACTAAAAGCCAGAGGCTTGTGTTCAGACGTCCTTGGGTCCCAGCTTCTGCCTACCCTTGTTTTTGATTTCTCCTTAGTGACATCCAGCCTAATTTTCATGAGATAATCATTTTCTTTAAAAATAGGTTTGCAGATTGGAAGCACCTTTTAATGTATCTAGTCCCCAGATGTCCTGATGTGGCAACAACAATCCCAATCAATCCTCTGCACAATTTTAACTCTTACAGATGTAAATCCACTTACAAAGGCATAAGGTTCCATAAGGATTTTGGCCATTGGTTGTTGACTTCAAAATTTCTTATGGTATAGATGCAAGATCTGAAATAAATTTGGACCCTCATATGAGCCTCTTGGCTCCTAAGATCTGTATAGGGAAAGTTTTTCTCCTTGCCCTGATGGACTGCCCTTCTCCCACAAAGCTGGGAAGATCTTGCATGTACCTGAACACTAGATCTAACAACAACAACAACAACAACAACAAGAAGAAGATTACCACCTGCCAGCTGGAGAAGGCCACCTTACTGGGCTTTGCACGCATTATTCGCCGATACATCACACAGTCCTAGGCCTGTGTGTCTGACATGTGATCCAAAGCTGTGGATTCATCTGTTGTGTTTCCAATTATTATTATTATTATTATTATTATTATTATTATTATTATTATTGATCTGGGATCCTGTAAGTAACATATGCTAGTGTAAATTACAATTGTGTCAGAGCAAGTACTTTTTGGGAATGCTGCCAAAGCCCTGCTGTTTCCTAGACAGTTCTGATCCTTGGGAGCAGGCCTCATCTTTGTCAGGCTGCCAATTACTTTGAGAACAGAAGCAGAAGCCCTGTAAATGTATATTAGATATTGCTGTAGTCCTCCCTGTTGGCTCATGACATTGCTCAGATGGTGAGGGACAGAAGTTGACTCGCAATGCCAAAACTATCTCTCTACATCTCTCTTGTGGTCCCAAGCATCATCTACAAAGTAGTATTTGACAAGTCTCTTTTAATGTATCACAAAAACATAATCAACCCATGCATAGGTGGGATCCAAAGATTTTTTTTAAGTTCACAGAAGAAGCCTTTATTAGTCTAGTTGTTATCACTGCAAGACTTCAATATTTGAGGATATATTCATTGCTGGAGTGTGGTTGCCTGAAAGCATGAATGTGAGCATGGATGTGAGTGAAAGCCATTAAATTACCTTACTTTTGGCATAGAATTTTATCAGTTCTCCAATTCTGTGGGGAAGATAACAGATAATCTCTTTGAGGACCTAGCAAATTGCTCGAGAGACCATTCTCCTTGTCTGCGAGTAAGTGAAGTCATGGATATGGGTTCTTCTTGTATTTTACTTTCTGTGTTGGAAGAGACATTCTTGCTACACATCAGAAACTGATTATGAATCTCACCTGCTCCAAAACTGACTTTGCTATGCAGCATTTTGAGGAGAAGAAAATGTTAGTCAGGATCTTGAAACTGGTTCCATGAGTTGGGGGTGTCCTTGTCTCAACGTATAAGATCAACCTCTATGGATAACAGCATTTGGTAAAGGGAAATTAAGAAATAACTTCAAAAAAACAACTCCCATCACTCCTAAATCCCTTTCCTTCATATACCAGATTTCAAGGGGGCAATATGGTGTCCAGAGAATGGAACTTCTTCCAGGGGATCGGGATAATTTAGCCATCCAGACTCGTGGTGGCCCTGAGAAACATGAAGTAACAGGGTGGGTGTTGGTAAGTAGCAGTTTTTTTGCTATCACGATTGAAGCAACTCTGTGTAATTTTGATAGGGCAGCAGGAAGAAAATCAGCTTTTTAGACTTCGGAACCACCTGGGAAGTGATGCAGTAGGGGAATGAGATTCTGATCCCAAGTCTATGTCTACTGAATGGCATAAAAGTTTTAAAAAGTAAAGGTTTCCCCTTAACACTAAGTCTAGTCAAGTCTGACTCTGGGGGTTAGTGCTCATCTCCATTTCTAAGCCGAAGAACCAGCGATGTTTGTAGATACCTCCTAGGCATGACTGCATAGAGCCGCCCTGAGTCCCTTTGGGGAGATGTTGAGGGGGGGGGGGGTACAAATAAAGATTATTATTATTATTGCTATTTCCAACAAAAAATAATTCTGAGACCATGTTAAATGTTTGGAAGAATATCCTCCAGCAGCTTCCAAATATTTCCTACACAGTTACAAGGGGGAAAATAGAAAATACAACATACTGAGTAATCGTTTTAAGACATAGCTCTGTGCAGTGTTTCTTCCTACATCTCTCTAACTAATAAAAAAATTTATGTCAGAATGTTTTCTCCCCATAGTACAAACATATTGAAGATGTTCCCAAATCGTCATATAAGAAGTAGATTGCTGTGGACTTGGATGTATGCTATCAATAAGCCAACCATTAAACAAATACCAAGAACCTTTAGAAATAAAACTATTAACTATGGTTCTGCCTTGATAGATCTCACCCTTGAGCAATGATGATGCTGGAGAATACGAGTGCCATGCATCAAATTCTAAAGGAGAAGCCACAGCCTCCGCAAAAATTACTATTGTCAATTCCATAAATGAAATACCTACAAAAAAAGGTAGGTAGTCTGTGTTTGTGTTTTGTTGTGCTAGAAATGAAATGTAGACATTAGATAAAAGATGGGTCTGCTGACTTACAGCAATGTCACAATATCCTGAACCAAAAATCAGAAGGTTTGTGAACAAGAAAGCTTTTAATGGTTGTTCTTAATAGCAGATTGTGAATTGAAGGAATCTCTCATAGTAGACACATGAAAGATTCCTGAAAAAAGTGGAATTCATTGCTGTCCATGACTGGTGTTAACTAATTTAAGAAATAAGGTTGAACAGTGAAAGCCACCCATTGCATGGCTATCAGCCTCCTCCCAGGAGACTTCAAATCAAGGAAAAGCTTCATGAGAACCACCACTCCTCTTAATGTTCCCCCAGCAATAGCAAGAGTATTCCTCTGGGCAGCTAAACCAGGAAATCCCAATTGGATGCCCCTCCATGAGGGTCTGCTTCCAGAGGCAAACCAAAAATGGGCAACTTGGAAGCCCCTGAACAGACTCAGAAGTGGAGTGGGCAGATGAAAAGACAACCAGGCAAAATGGCACTACCTAAAAGAATCTTCCACCTTGTATGACTGTGGAGCAGAACACACAACTCCCCATCTGCATGCTTGTTCGCAGTGTCCTGCCTCATGTACAGAGGAAGAGTTGTTGGAGGATACAGACAATGCAGTTGCTGTTGCACATTTTTGGTCAAAAGATATTTAGCCACTTGTGCTCCTTCTACTTTTATCAATTTTATACTAATTTATGCAATGCTTTCGGTATGTTATAAATTTTGATACAAAATAAATAAGAAATGTCCCAGGGGAGAAGTGGGAAGTAGAGAAGTGGTTTCTCCTTATCTTGGTTGCAATACATCCGATCTTAGACTTCAGAAGAGGTGGCATGAGACGTATACAGATGGTGGCCTTGCTACAGGCCCAAGACTTCTTTGTCCCCAGTAACCCTAGAGCAGTGGTGGCAAACCTATGGCACACGTGCCATAAGGGGCATGCAGCACCCTCTCACTGCATGTGTTCTATCACTCACCCCCCATTCACCATCCTATCCCGCCTCATCCTATCCCTGCTCACCCACCATTCACCTGCCCCCCTTGCCCATTCACTTGCCTGCCCACTTGCTCGCTTGCCTGCCCCCCTGGGCTCACCCTACCCACCCCCTGAGTGCCCAACCCCTCCCACCCCGGGTTTGGGCACTCTGTCTCTAAAAGGTTTGCCATCACTGCCCTAGAAAAATAATCTTGTTCTCGTAAATGCAATCCAAATATAATTTTGCATGAGGGATGCTTTACTGATACAGTCAACTCTCCCCATTTGCTGGGGGTTAGAGGTGCAAAACCCCATGAAAGTGTAAGAATCATGAATAAATGAATGGATGTTTTTTTTACTACAGAAAATATTATTTGTTTATTTATATTCTGCTCTATCTCCCTGAGGGAACTCAGAGCGGATGACAACATACACAGATAGGCAAACATTCTCTGCAGACTTTTGTGTTGACTCTATGGTCAGCACTTGCCAAAAGCTGACCATACAACTATGCTGGAAGACCCATAAAAGCCCAGAAAACTGTAGGAATCTACAAGACTTCCAGCAAACATTGATCATAGAGTTACTAGAGGATCTAGAGATTTCTGAAGAGGAATAATTGACTCTATAAAAGTGAAAGGTTATCTCTTTCCTCAAATACAATTGAACTAATTATAGGGTGTCCTCAATTCTTTTGTGTGCATTTCAAGGAAAACAAAATCTTCAATTTATAATGTTGTCTTTTTTTCCCTCAGGTGACAGTGCTGAGCTCTGAAAAGTGAAGCTTATATATTGCACACAGAGAGGTAGAAGCTCTAATCGATGCCAAGGTTATGTTAATCTTCTGGAAAATTGTTGTTCTTTCTTATTATTCATACCTCTCCATACACTAACTCCTTGAATATGTTTTTTTTTTTTGCTGAGTAACAATAAAATATTTGACAAGTGTATACATGACTGAAAAGCTTTTATTTCTATTTACAAAAACAAAATAGCGCACACATGGAACAATTGGAAAACCTTAACCACAAAGATATTCAGATTTGAAAAAAAAACATTTAAAAGAGAAGCATGTGCCTAAAAAACTTGGGTAAAAACTACATTGTGGCTAAGAAATGGAGGAACTTCCCAAAGGCTACACACTCATCATTCGAGGTGCAATACTCATGGACATCAGCTCTTGGAAGAGGAGCTTACAGGCGTACGGCATTCTCACCAGAGAAATCTGAAAAGGAAAGGTTGACAAATATTACTTTTTTTTTTTACTTAGTTAAAAATATTTTAATATGACCCTTTAGTTTAGACTCAAGACAACTCACACAATGAGTAAACACAGCAAGCAAAAACTAATATTAACAGACAACAACAAAAGTAATATAGTGATCAGTTCTGGCAGGACCAGTAAAGCTATCAAATTAAAACCAGCTTCACTGACATGATAACAAGTTGTGGGGAATGAAAAAGATCTTTCTTTAGCATCAGCAGAATGACAACAATAGTGACACTGGTGAGGCATGTCATCCATATACACACACACACACACACACACACACACAACCACAATTGAGAAAATCGTCTCGACAGTCAAAGTTTTCAGGATTAATAGTCAGAAAAGGGCTTCTGTTGGAGGAGGTTATGGTTTTGAGGGGTTTATGTGGTGTATGAATGCATTTTATTAGAGACTCTGTAGCCATTTAGTACTTTCAAACAGCTCACCTTAAAATGAGTCCTTATTCCAGGCATTATGCAGTTTAAACTGGAACTGACCAGTTTCTCTCTCATACCAAATCAATACATCTGCTTCCTGACATAGATATGATTTGAATGAGAGGCATCCATACCATTACCCATTAAGTAAACCCATCTGTATCAAGTTTATATAGGGTGGACTGCAAAGGCGTTTTAATATTTAATAACTCCTTAATTACATGTTTTAATTTACAATATCATAGCATCAAATACAGCATATACAGAATTACATAAATACAGCATATACAGAATTACATAAAAAAATACACACACACACACACACACACCCCCAAAAAAGTTATTAAAACATCAGGCACCTTTGTGACTTGTTAGTAAAGAGTACAAAATAAAAAAAACTCCATTGTTTTATTATTTGAATTTGGCCTAGTAATGTAAGTGATAACACAAAGACTTTAAAAGTCAACATGCTCTAGTGCAGTGGTTCTTAACCTATGGGTCTCCAGGTGTTTACCAGCTGTTAGGATTTCTGGGAGTTGAAGGCCAAAATATCTGAGGACTCACAGGTTGAGAACCACTGCTCTAGTGAATTGTGTGCCGGATTAATAGTTCAGGAGACTCAAGTTTGAATTCCAACTCATGTAATTGATTACTATGACTCTGGGTGATTTTGGGCAGTCAGATTCTCTCAGTCCTGTGAAGGGCAATGGTAAACCCCTTCTGAACAAGTCTTGGAAAGAAAACCCCATGACAGAGTCACAATAAGTCAAAAATTACTTGAAGGAACAAAACAATACGTAATCCTTTACATGTGAGAGCATTCAAGATGCGTTTATAGAATCACAGAATCATAGAGTTGGAAGAGACCTCATAGGCCATTCAGTCTAACACCCTGTCAACAAGGAGGAAAATCACATTCAAAGCATTCAAAGTTTGTTTTATTTCAGTACATCTGCCTAAAAGCTGGACAGGATCCCTCCCTCCATATTTCATGGAGCTGTGCTAATAATTGATAGCTTACTCAACAGACATTTTATGGTAATAATAATAATAATAATCCTTTATTTGTACCCCGCTACCATCTCCTCGGTGCGGCTTACAAGAGGCTGTGCCCAAAGTACATCATTAACAAAAACACAACAGACAACAATACAATGCAACAATAAATAAGCAAACAATAAAACAATAACAAAAGGGCGACACTGTTAAAAACCTGTGGCAGGGCCAAATGTAATAGTTAAAATTCTAAAAATTCTGGGCATGTCCAGGTGAGGTAGAGTGGATATTTTGGGAATAGAAGGGTGTGCAGACAATTCTAACTCTCTCATAAAGTGCATTAGGGACAATTGTTTGGGATTCCTTAATCTGGGAAGGCACACTGGAACATCCATGTTTTCAAGCTCCTTCTGAAGACTGCCAGCGATGGGGCTTGCCTGATGTCCTTGGGGAGGGAGTTCCAGAGTCGTGGGGCCACCACCGAGAAGGCCCTTTCCCTCGTTCCCACCAATCACGCTTGCGATGCTGGTGGGATCGTGAGCAGGGCCTCACCAGATGAATGAAGGGATCGTGGTACAGAAAAAGTTGAAAACCCTGGATACAAAGGTCATTTTTCTCTAGCCATGTTAAAGCTTTCAAACTCAAAATGTATACAATTTAAGGAAACCAAATGGATCAGTATGTAAATAATAAATATAAATGCATAACGGATAAGGTGAGAGTCACTCAGGAAACAGTTTGAAAGAATAAATTGGTTTTGCAATATATTTTTGGAGAAAAAGATAAAGCCACATCAGGGAGTCAGATTGAGATGATAACCAAAAGGGGATCAAGTAGCGCAGCACAGATCCCTTCTACGCTGCCTTATAATCCAGATGATCAAGGCAGATAATCCAAATCATCTGCTTTGGACTGGATTACATGAGTCTACACTGCCATATAACCCAGTTCAAAGCAGATAATCTGGATTTTATATGGCAGTGTAGAAGGGGGCACAAAATGCAAAGAGGAAAACTAGAAACAGCACCTCTATCAACTTTTTACATACCTGTGTCTTATTCCGGCAGCCCCTGCACTCATATGTGTGCGTCCTGGTATTTGCAATTGCCATTAAGCCACAGAGGTTGCACACGTGAACCTGATATGGGTCTGATGCTTCAAACAACCTTTCCCTTAGGAACTGGGCTGCTCCATGAGCAATCTGGCAATCTCGTTCCATTTCTCCAAAACGGAGACCACCATCACTGAGAAAAAGAAAATACACGTGATTCAATTTTTTTTCCAAACCTGAAGGTGACCAATGTACCTCACATTCCCCAATAATGTAAGAAGCTATTGGAGCAAAATTCATGGTAGATGCAATACATGCTACTTATTATTATTATTATTATTATTATTATTATTATTATTATTTACAAAACACCTGAAAGGCCCCATAGGAGTATTTATTTTTTTTCCATGTCAGGAGTGACTTGAGAAACTGCAAGTCACTTCTGGTGTGAGAGAATTGGCTGTCTGCAAGGACGTTGCCCATGGGACACCCGGATGTTCTACCATCCTGTGGGAGGCTTCTCTCATGTCTCTGCATGAGAAGCTGGAGCTGACAGACAGGAGCTCACTCCACTCTCTGGATTCAAACTGCTGACTTTTTGGTCAGCAGTCCTGCTAGCACAACAGTTTGACCCATTGCGCTACTGGGTTACTTGTTCTCAATATAAACATTCTCAATATAAAATGCGGATCACAGCATGAATGGAAATCAGAAGGGGTGCTCTTTGTAAAAGCTTTACAACCAATTTGTTTGGGCATATAAGCTATAATTTTTAAAAACACATGAGGATCCAGTTTCTTAAGGATTTCTGTTTTTAATTTCATTTTTTACTGCAATTTATATATGGATAATTTGAGGAAAAGCACAAGCAAAGCCCATGAGAAAATCTGAGATATTTCAAGAGAAATGAAGTTTCAGTGCCCAATGATATATTTTTTTTCTTGCACCTGTGGCAAACTAAAAGCAAATAAACATGATTGAATCTTATTTCATACCGTGATCGGCCTTCCATAGGTTGCCTGTTGAGGATCTGGATTGGCCCCCTGGCACGAGAATGAATCTTATCATCTACCATGTGTTTCAACCTCTGGTAATAAGTAGGACCGATAAAAATCTGCGATGTAATTTTGCGACCTGTGAAGCCATTGTACAAAACCTAAAGAAAATGAAATATGGAGTGAATGCTCAAATGATAGTGAAAAATCTGAGGAAAGGGCGGAGTCAGGCATGTAACTGCTAGTGAGATCAGCACATACCTCGTTTCCTCTCAGATGGTAACCATAATCAGAGAGCAAATTTGAAATCTTCTGCACATTGACCGCGTCATTGAAAGGTGTGGCATCACCTATTTCTCCCTTGTTTGCAGACACCTAAAAGTGGAAGTAAGGATATTACTTTTACTGAATAGGACCACTATCTAGAAGAGAAAAAAGGGCAAAACAGAATTCTGGTATCTTGCTGCTACTGCAATAATGAATTAGAGTTGTAAAAAGTAGGATGGAGACAGTAGATCGTTGGATTAAGGCAGTGGTTCTCAAACTTTCTAATGCCGTGACCCCTAAATACAGTTCCTCATGTTGTTGCTACCCTTACTACTGTTATGAATTGTAATGTAAACATCTGAAATGCAGAATGTATTTTATTGTTACAAATTGAACATACTTAAAGCATAGTGATTCATCACACACAAAAAATATGCTTGGGAGAGTATGGACAACGGATGATGGGATTTGCAATACCTTCAACTGATTCAGCTCTGACTTCCACATACCACTGATGCCTGTACCCAAATTAGCTCTGAATCGTGGCCTTAGCTCTATACCACAAAGTAAACACAGTCCAACTACGTAGTCGTTACCTGCCTCACAAAGGCTACTTATGCTGAATTCAGGTTCAAGCATTAATTTTTTGTGCATAATTCAGTCTTCCACAGTGGTTAACAAAGTGCTCCTACCCTGGAAGCTCACAAACAGGGTAAGATGGGGGCCACCTCATCTCCAAGCAGTCACAGGTTCTTACCTTCCCTTGCAGACATTCAATCAAGTGACCAATTGTCATACGTGAAGGGATAGCATGGGGATTGATGATAATATCAGGGGTGATTCCCTCACAGGTGAAGGGCATATCCTAGACAAAACAAAGGAAGATGGCGGTCATGCTTCCTATCTTCAAAAGAAGAGCAACAAAACGGATCAT